CCCCGTTCACGGTGGGCGACAGCCTCGAGGCGGCGAAGTCGCTCCCGAAGCAGACCGCTCTGGGCTGGGATGCGTTCCACCCGCGGCTGGTCCTCTCCCAGGGTTGGCCCTTCGCCGATATGATGGCAGAGGTACTCACGGCTTGGGTGTTGCAGCCGCAGCCCACGGCCCTCTTCACCACGGTGTTCCTCTTCCTGGGGAAGCCAGACGGAGGCCGCCGCCCGATCGGCCTCATGGGCAAGTGGTTGCGCATCTGGTGCAGGGTGCGCCGCCGCTACGGTGTCAAGTGGGAGAAGGACCACCAGCCCACTTTGGTCTGGGGCAAGGATGCGAACAGCTGTGACATGGCGGTCTACCCACACAACCTGGGGCTCGCGCTCGCCCGCCAGCTTGGCTTTGGGGCAGCCTCAGTCTATCTCGACGGCAAGTTCTACGCGCGGACCGACCCCGACCGTTTCAAGCGAACTGCCGAGTTGGTGAGCTTGATGGGCCACCGCTACGAGGAGCTCTTCTGCCAGGACCTCTTCGTCGGCGCCCAGTACCAGGTGCAGAGGCCGCGCTGTGACCCTGGCGGGGCGCGCCGCTCGCGCGGCTGGGACGCGGGCGCACTCGTGGTGCCCGCGGGCACCCTCGTCTTCACGGACGGCTCCTGCGTCAACAACGACCTGTTGATCAGGAGCGCGGTCTGGTCGGTGGCGGTTCTCACGACCGTTGGCGAGTGGGTGGTGCAGGCGAGGGGTGCGGCGCCGTCTGCCCTGAAGTTCATCCCCCCCCGTTCGCGGGCGGCCATCGAGCGGGGCGACCTCATGGAGGTGGAGCTCTTCGGCAACCGCCTCGTGGGCCAGCTCGCGAAGGCGGGCGCGGCGAGGCACGCCATCGCCGACGAGGAGGCCCGCCTGCTCCACGGCTGCCAGGCCCGCACCCGCTTCGCGGCGCGCTTCGCCGCCGAGTTCGAGGTCCAGGACACGGCGTCGGGCTTGCGGGACCTCACCCCCTACTTTGCGGCGGAGCTCGACGGCGAGGCCGACCCCCTGTTCGCCGCCGCGGCGGAGCCCGCCCCTGGGACAGGTGGATTCAGCCCACCGAAGTCGCAGTCCCAGGGGCGCGGCCAGTTCGGGAAGAAGCACGACGTGGAGGTGCGCGCGGCTGGCATCGCGGAGCTGGACGCGCTGGTGGCTGCTCCTGACGGCGCGGCGCTGGTGCGCGGCAGCGGCATCTCGGAACCCATCGAGCTCCCCGAGGGCCGCGAGGCAACCCCCGCTGTCGGGCACGCCGCTGGCGGAGGCCCTGGGCAGCCGCCGCGGCCTGCAGACAGCAGCCTGCCGCCCCCAGCTGCCCCCTCGGCGCGCCGCCCGCGGCAGGTTCGCCAGGCGCCACGCGACGCGGAGCACGTCACGCTGTATGGCGATGGCAACGTGAAGGAGATCGACGCGGAGCTTTGCGGTGGCTACGCCGAGGCGCAGGCCTCGGCGGCTGCTGGCGGCCCCCTCCTCGCCACGGCGGCGGCCCTGGCAGCGGCGGCGGCTGCTGGCGCCTCCAGCTCGCGCCCTTCGCCCATGAGGCGCCGCCCCGCCTCGGCCGAGTCGCCCGCGGATGCCCTGCGACGTGTCGCCCAGCGCAGGGCGCAGGTGCAGCCGAGGCGCCGCGAGGCCTCAGCCCCCGCGCCCTGCCCGCGCCTGGCGGCGGAGGCGGCGAGCAGCGGACCAGCCACTGCGGAGGCGGCTGATGCAGCCCGTCCAGCGGGATGGAGGGTCAACGGCCACCTCCTCATGGAGTCGAGAGTCGAAGGAGACGACTCCGAGCCCTTCTTGGTCTGCGCGGCTTGCTGGATGCACTGCCGCCTCCCCGGGTACGCGCACCGCGGCCTGGGCAAGCAGTGCGGGGCCAGCGCGGCGGCTGGGCAGCCCAAGTGCAAGAAGGGACCCAGAGCCCAGGCGCGGTCGGACTTCGCTCGCGGCATCCTGCCAGCGTCGAAGGAGCCGATCGCGCCGCTGGCCTCGCCAACGGAGTGCACGCGCCGGCGCTGGGCGGCGGCACTCCAGGCCAGGCAGGGCCACGGCGCGGAGGGGCAGGCGCTCGTGGCAACGCCCGTGCCATCGCAGCGGCTGCCAGCAGCCGCCCAGCCCCCACCGCCTGCGGCTGGCGCTGGGAGCCAGGCGGCTGCGCCGCCGAGAGCCGCGGCCACGCGGCGGCTGGCCGCGGCGGCCCCGCGGGAGGAGGCCGCCGAGCCGCGGCGGTCCCGCCCAGGGCTCGAGGGTGTTCGTGGAGCCCACGGCCTCGCGGACGCAGCGGCGGCCCGCGAGCGCGGGCGAGCCGCGACGGCAGCGGCCGCCCGCGCAGGCCGCGCGGGGACGCGCGCCGCGGGCTGAGGCGGCCTCGGCAGGCGGCTGTAAGCGCCCGCGCGGCCCTCCGCCCCCCGCCTTGAATTTATGCAAGAACCCGCCGAGCCCGCTCGGCGCCCACACAGATAAAAAAAAAATGCCACCACCGTACCACTCAGACCCCGGAGGGCTGGGCCTTCCCCAGCACTGGCGTTGTGATCCTGCGTCGACGTCCAGGCAGTTCCCGCCGCGGTGCCGTCGATGTGCGAGTGGGGGGTGGGGGGCTGGGGGGAAGAGGAGGGCGAGGCGGAAGGGGGAGGGGAGGGGCAGGGACGAGGAGAGGAGTGGAGAGGGGAAGGGGCCTGGGGGGAGGAGGGGGGCGAGGGAAGGGGACAGAGGAGAGCGGAGGATGGGGCGCGTTGCCCCCCCGAGGCGCGGCTCTGGCGCGCGCAGCGGCGGCAGGCGCGGCAGGCCTTCGAGCAGGAGGACACTGCCGAGCGGGAGGCTTGCAGCGGCGCGCCCCCAGTCCTGGCCCTCCCCCTCCCCTCCCCCCTCGCTCCGCGGTGCCTCGTTCTCCTCGTCCTCCCCCTCCTCGCTCCCTTCCCCCACATCCTGATCCTCGGTCTTCTCTCCGCCCTGCGTCCTCCGTCCTCTTCCCTCCTCCTCCTCCTGGTCCATTTCTTCTGAGTTCTTCTGTCTCCTCACTCTCCTCACTCTCCTAACTCTCCTCCTCCTCCTCCTCCTCCTCCTCCCTCCCTCCTCCCTCCCTCCCTCCCTCCCCCCTCCCTCCCTCCCTCCCTCCCCTCCCTCCCTCCCCCTCACTCCTCCTCCTCCTCCCCCTCCTACTTCCTCCCCGCCTTCTTCCTCCTCCTCCTCCTCCTCCTCCTCCTCCTCCTCCGCCTCCTCCCTCCTCCTCCTCCTCACTCCCCAGACTCCCTCTTCCTCCTCTGCTCCTCCTCCTCCACACTCTACCCACCCCCTCTCCTCCTCCCCTCCTCCTTCCTCCTCCTCTTCCTCCTCCTCCTCCTCCTCCTCCTCCTCCTCCTCATCATCATCATCAGCATCATCAGTATCCTCATCCTCATCCTCATCCTCATCCTCATCCTCATCATCCTCCTCACCGTCCTCCTCCGACTCGATTGCTCACTATCTCCAACTGTCCTCGCCTCGTCCACCTCCTTGTCCTCCCCGGGCGTGTTTGTCTTCCTTCAGACCCGTTCGCGCGTGTCGGTCTCGGGTCGACCGAGGACTACAGTGTACTGAAGTGTCGCGTGCCAGGGCGCATGAGCTGATTTATGTAAGCTGTCATATCCCCCGCGAGTTTGGAGTCGAGCTCCAGTGCCAGCCTAACTTGTTGGTGACCTGTAGCATTACTAATCAGGCGCGGCGTTCAGCGGTGCTGGCGTGTCAGGCCTTCGAGGAGCGAGTCGGCCGTGTCCCACCTCTTCCGCTATCCCTTCCATGTCGCCCACTTTCGCAGGCGGGAATAAGGTCATAATCAGAATCCCTGCCCCGTCCATTAGTAATCAAGCAGCTCGGAGTGGTCGAGCCCCTCAGCCATTCAGACGCGGAGGGAGCCTCAACGTCATGATTCATCTGAAGCAACCATAGAGTGGTTGCATGACTCTTCCCCTGGGGGCGTGGACTCCTCTCCTCCTCCTCCCCCTCCTCCTCCTCCTCCTCCTCCTCCACCTCCTCATTATCACCATCATAAGTATCATCATCATCATCATCAGCAGCATCAGCATCACCAGCAGCATCATCAGCATCATCCGCCTCGAGTCCTCCCCCTCCGCCTCGTAACCCTCTCCTCCTCCTCCTCCTCCTCCTCCTCCTCCTCCTCCTCCTCCCCCTCCTCCCCCAAGCTTACGTCCCTGCTCGAGGGGGGTCCTTGTCCCCCTGCTCCTCCTGCCTCTCTTCCTCCTCCTCCTGCTCCTCCTCCCCCTCCCTCGACGACGACGACGACGACGACGACGACGACGACGACGACGACGACGACGACGACGACGACGACGACGACGACGACGACGACGACGACGACGACGACGGCGACGGCGACGGCGGCGGCGGCGGCGGCGGCGGCGGCGGCCTTCGCCCGCCCAGCGGCGTAAGGGCTGTCGGCGCAGTCCCGCGAGACGCGGCAGTAATGGAACGCCCGCGGGGGGCCGAGGAGCACCCATGCAGATGCTGTCGGGGCACGGGCCAACGCGGCAGGGGTGCCAGAGACAGGGGAGGGGATGGGGAGGAGGGGGAGGAATGGTGAGGACGAGGAGGATGAGGAGGAGGAGGAAGGGGCAAGCAGTGCAGGAGGAGGAGGAGGAGGAGGAGGAGGAGGAGGAGGAGGAGGAGGAGGGGAGGAGGAAGGAGGAGGAGGAGGAGGAGGAGGAGGAGGAGGAGGAGGAGGAGTGAGGAGGAGGAGGAGGGAGGGAGGAGGAGGAGGAGGGAGGAGATAGGAGAGGGCTTTCACGATGACGCAGACACTGGAGAGGGGCAAGAAAGGTGAAATGGATGGGGAAGTGGCAGGGGGGAGGGAGGAGGGGGAGTAGGGGGAGATGGAGGCACGGGCGGGGAGAAGGCCCGCTTTCTCTGACATACCTCATCGACGTGTGTATCGACCAAGAGTGTTGGGCTTGACCTGCCTATCGCTCTGTACTGCGGTCAGGCTGCGTAGTTTACCCAGTTTAATTCAGCCTGCATATATCGACCTCAGATTGCACGATTAGCTTGCCCCAGCTCGTCCCCGCTGACCTCGACCCGCAGCTTACACCCGATCCCAGCCTGCGCGGCTGTCCGCTGCGTCAAGGTCTCTGCCCTGGTGCCCTCTTCCCTGAGATCCGATGTCGCGAACTTGTGTGCAGCGTCGTGAGAAAAAAATATCCTGGCGAAGGACCCGATCATACGCAACTGTGAGTACCTCGTTGTGGATACCGCTTTCGGTGGAGCTCCCTATGGGGCTACGAAGAACCGTGTGAAGGGTGTGCCGAAATGGTGCGGCGGGGCCATGCGGACCCTGCCACTGGGGCCGTCGGTGGGGGGTGTCCCGAAATGGGGCGGGGGCGCCATGCGGGCCCTGCCACTGGTGTATTCGGTGGAGCTCCCTATGGGGTCGCGAACCGTGTGAGGGGTGTGCCGAAATGGGGCGGGGGCGCCATGCGGACCCTGCCACTGGGGCCTTCGGTGGGGCTGCCTATGGGGCTACGAAACGTGTGAGGGGTGTGCCGAAATGGGGCGGCGGTGCCATGCGGACCCTGCCACTGGTGCATTCGGTGGAGCTCCCTATGGGGCCACGAAACGTGTGAGGGGTGTGCCGAAATGGGGCGGAAGTGCCATGCGGACCCTGTCACTGAGGCCTTCGGTGGAGCTCCCTATGGGGTCGCGAACCGTGTGAGGGGTGTGCCGAAAAAATGGGGCGGCGGTCCCATGCGGGCCCTGCCACTGGGGCCTTCGGTGGGGCTCCCCATGGGGCCACGAAACGTGTGAGGGGTGTGCTGAAACGGGTGATGACGATGATGTTGATGTTGATGTTGATGTTGATGTTGATGATGATGATGATGATGATGATGATGATGATGATGATGATGATGATGATGATGATGATGATGATGATGATGATGATGATGATGATGATGATGATGATGATGATGATGATGATGATGATGATGATGATGATGATGATGATGATGATGATGAGAGGAGGAGGGAGGGGGCCGCGGGAGGAGTTAACGCGGGAACACCACAGGATGGTTGGGAAGAGCTGGAGCCCCGCCCGAACGTTCCGCGGCATCTCTCGAGCCAGCTCGATCCTGCAGGGGGCCCCTGGCAAGACCACGGCGAAGGCGCCCAGCGCGAGAGTTGAGGCCCGGGGCCCAGGCATGCGACGGCCCGACTTTTTTCCAGCTGCAGCCCCCCACCCAGACCTTCCAGAGAGCTATTTTTTAGCACTGGAGGTCTAAAAACCTAAACGACTGAGCGAAACTGCCTAAAACCAAGACGTAGAATAGCTTTTGGATAGGTTTTTAAGTCGGGTGCTATTTTTTAGCCCTCCTGGAAGGTCAGGGCAGTCCCTCCCCAGGATTGTGATGTTCCAACCTGCTTTAGCCTTGATCACCAGAAGGAGCTCCGAGCACCAACAAAACCACCGAAACTCGAGGGCGTTCACGTGTCGGGCCCTGGGAGACACTCGTCCGGCGCTGTCTGGACACTCTCTCGACACTTCTCCGGGTGCTCGGAACCATTTCCGGGGTGTGGTCGGTAAGCACGATGGGAGCAGCATGTCCCCCGGGCCGGTGTTCTTCATCCCGCGGGCCGTCCCTGGGCACGGCGAGGGGCGGGCCGAGAGCGGCCGAATGCGGCGAGGGGCCCCAAAAGTGGGCCGAGGGCGGCCGCATGCCTGCCGCCGGGCGGCGGCTCCCGCGACCCCGAGCCTGCCCGGGCTCGGAGGCCGGGCCGGCGCGGGCGCGGCTCCCGCCCCCGAGGGCCTCGTGGCGGCCGCCCTCGAGGTGCAGCGCGTGCTCCGCGAGCGCGCGGCGGCCGTGGCCCGCGAGCGCGCCGAGGAGGACCGCCGCCGGCTCAGCGGCCGTGGCGCGCCCGGGGCCGGCGGCCGCGGCGGGCGCGGCGCGGCCCGGCCGTCGCCTCCAGCGCTTTTTTTTTTTTTTTTTTTTTTTTTTATTTTTTTTTTTTGTTTTTTTTTTTTTTTTCGCGTTTTCTTTCGTTCTTTTTTTTTTTTTTTTTTTTTTTTTTTTTTTTTTTTTTTTTTTTTTATTTTTTTTTTTTTTTTTTCGCGGCCCGCGCGGGCGGCGTCACCGCCGCCGCCGCGGCGCGCTGCTCCAGCAAGAAGGGGGCTTGCTCTCCTGGCCTTCCATGGAGGGCTAGAAAATCGCACCGGACCTCAAAGACCCATCCCAAAGCTATATTCTACGCCGTCTACGCCTTGGTTTTACGTAGGATGTCTCGTTTAGTTTGGGGGGGGGTGTAGGCTTCCAGTGCTAAAAAAATAGCTCTCTGGAAGGTCAGGGCACTCAGCCCCCGAAGGCCTGGACCTTGCCCAGGACCGGCGTTGTGATCCTGCGTCGTCGACTGGCCTGCTGACGGCCCCTGGGCCCGGCAAGGGCCCCCAGAGGCCCAGGACGTCCAGACAGTTGCCGCCGTGGTGCTGTCGATGCGCGAGGGGGGGGGGGTGGGGGGGCGGGGGAAAGAGGAGGGCGAGGCGGAAGGGGGAGGGGAGGGGAAGGGACGAGGAGAAGAGTGGAGAGGGGAAGGGTATTGGTAGCTCTTGCGGCTTCTGGACAGGACTCGCGGCCGGATGTTCAGCGAGCGTTGTCCAGTGCCATGTACCGTTTGCCAAGGAGCGGTTGGTGTCCGTTTTTGGGCGTCGCTCGCTGTTGGGCGTCGCCCCAATTGATGCTGTGCCCGTCTCGGGCATGCCAAGGAGGGAGAGGAGCGGCTGCCCTCGGGCAGGCCTGAGCTCGCCCTGACTTTCAGCGCTGGTCGAGGCGGCCTGGACCGCCTGCTGCCAGAAGACGATCGGTTCGGCGTTTCGGTGGCTTGGTCCTCCTCCTGCTCATCCACCTCCTCACATTGTCCTCTCTCACTGGTTATCTTCCTGATCCTCCTCATCCTTCTGCTCCTCCTCCTTCTCATCCTCATCCTCATCCTCATCCTCCGCCCATTCTCCCCCTCAGTGTCTTGATTATCGTGAATCGGGAAGAAGCGATTTTTCCGAACACGGCCCTCCCAAAAATCGGTTTCCTTTATTATTGTGGGCTCGTGAGAGCCAGGCTTGATGAGGGTAGAGGAGGTGATGATGATGATGATGATGATGATGATGATGATGATGATGATGATGATGATGATGATGATGATGATGATGATAATGGTGAGTTGTTGTTGCGATGATAATGTTGGGCATGACGACGATAATGACGATGTTGATGGCAACGTGGTCATTGTTGCAGTGACGTTGACGAGAATGCTGTTGTTGATGATGATGACGATTGTAATGGTGATGATGATGATGATGGTGATGACACTGATGACGATGGTGGTGATGTTGATGACGATGGTGGCACTGGTGGTCATGACGACAACGACGATAAGATTGATGATGGTGGTGTTGTTGATGATGGTGGTGTTGATGATGATGCTGATGATGATGATGATGGTGGTGATGATGATGGTGGTGGTGGTGATGGTGATGGTGATGGTGATGATGATGATGATGGTGATGGTGATGATGATGATGGTGGTGAGATGGTAATGGTGATGGTGATGATGTTGATGATGATGATGATGATGATGGTGGTGATGGTGATGGTGATGGTGATGGTGGTGGTGGTTCTGATAATCCGAACGACCGTGATGATGTCGATGCTTCTCATGGTTGTAGCTGACGACGACCACCACCACCACGATGAGAGTGTCAATCACGATTACGACAGTGAGAACAACAGGGTTGAGGCAGGCTCTGGAGGTGGGTGGCCCTCACTCTTGCAGGAGGAGGAGGAGGAGGAGGAGCAGGGGAAAAGGTAAGAAGGGAGGGGAGCGAGATGAGGACGAGGAGAAGGGTGGAGGGGACGGGGGCAAGGACTATGAAGGAGGAAGGATAGGAGAAGGAGGAGGAGGAGGAGGAGGTGACGAAGGAGGAGGATGAGGAGGAGGTGAAAAAGGAGGAGGAGGAGGAGGAGGAGGAGGATGCGAATCACGTGACTCTGAAGGGCACCGCTCCATCGTGCAGGCCGACGTCGCTGGCGCAGCACGCGCCCGCGACCTCCGCCCCCAGCCGGGACGCGGCGAGCGCACAGAAGCCCTTGGGGCGGCAGAGGCGGGCCGGGAAGCTCTGGAGGCACCCCCGCCCCGGAGGCAGCGGCAGCTCCCCGCAGCCGAGGTCGGCGGGCCCTGCCGCTCGAGCCCGCGCTGCAGCTGGACATTGCACGAGCCGCGGCTCCTCGAGGAAGCGCACCTTTCAAGCAGTGGCGAAGCCTATAGCCCCACCAAACAATGTTCTAAGAACCTTTTGTGGTTCCCACGAAATGTTCTTCGAACACTTCTGGCTGGGACCGTCTTGTTTTAGCACAGTTGGTTCATGCTCTAAGGACATTGCTTTTGTTATGAGAGCATTTTGGGGTTCTGAGAACATTTCGTGGTATGACTATAGGAATGCCGGGACGGTCGGTCCCTGCTCAACTCTTGGCTGCAATGCTGATCGTTTTCATACTCATTGTTTTGCCGATCGGCGCGGGCCCTCGCACCCCCCCCCCTCCCCCCCCATGGAGTAGATCTTGGCTGTTATAGCGCCTGTTTCGAGCAGGTGGAGTCAGCCCCATAGGACGCACTATTGCAAGCAGTCGCATTAAGCAGAGGTCCGGAGCCAGACCCTCCCCCCTTCCGCCCGATGTCGAAACGCCGAACAAGAAGACGCTCACAATGAGGCTTTCGGTGACCTGGTGGGCTGCACTGAGCTCCCCCTTGGTTCTGCTGCACCTCCTGCGGTTGCTCTCTGTGATGCTGGCTGGGCCTTCCTGCAGAAGCGCGCTTCCTGCAGATGCTGGCTGGGCCTTCCTGATTGTCCTTGATCTCTTCCTGGATCTCCTGCGCCACGCCCTGCGGTACCTTCTCGGATGCCACCCAGGCCTTCTGCATCTGCTCGGCATCGGGCTCCTCTGTGGCCTCCTGGTGGAGTGCAGCCTTGATGAGGCGCAACTGCTGCACCTCTCCCTCCCCCTGCCTGGCTTTTGGCCGGGGTGGCGGTGTGGATAATCCGCGCCTCTCTTGTTTTGATGTGACCGACCCTTGAAGCTCCGTCCTCGATCGGGCGGGCTTACTTGTTCCTTTCTTCGAGATTCCACTCGCACGTCTCGTCCAGGCTGTAGTTGGCACCCCCCTGATCTCCTCTGGAGCCTCCTGCAGCTCCTTGCTGGAGGAGGAGGAGGAGGTGGAGGAGGCGGTGGAGGAGGAGGAGGAGGAGGAGGAGGAGGAGGAGGAGGAGGAAGAGGGAGGAGGAAGAGGGAGGGAAGAGGAGAGGAGGGAGGAGGAGGAGGAGGAGGAGGGGGAGGAGGAGGAGGAGGCGGAGGAGGAGGAGGAGGGGGGGAGAGTGGAGGAGGAGAGGAGGAGGAGGAGGAAGGGGAGGAAGGAGAAGGGGGAGGAGGAGAAGGAGAAGAGGAGGGGAGGGAGGAGGACGGAGGAAGAGGAGGAGAGGACGCGGAGGAGTTGGCCCTCTCTCTGTCAGAGCGGGCCAGCCCCGTGCGCCGCCCGTGCCTCCTGCGCCCACTGCGGCCCCTCCCCCGAGAGGGCCTCGAGCCGCCGCGCGTCGGCCGCCCGCCACCGCGGCAAGGCCGCCGGGGCGCAGGCAAGCCCGCCGGGGCAGACGGCGCGCGTGGCAGCGGCGCGCGGGGCCGCGCCGGCGGGCGCCCCGCCTCTGCGAGGGGGCGCCCGCACACGGGGCGGCCGCGGGGCGGCAGCCCGCACGCACGGCGCGGCCGCGGGGCGCGGCCGCGGGCGGGCACCGGTCGGGTATGGCCAGGGCCCCAGGTATAAGGGGACCCGGTCAGTGGTAGGGCCCTGGAGCCCCCGAATTGGCCAGAATCGCTAAAAACCAGGTCTGCCGTATAGCTGGTGCTTCTTTGAGTGGCGGCAGGTCCGGTGAGTGGAGTGGGGCTGGAGGGCGTCCCTCAGCACACAGCACGAAACCAGGTCCCATGAAACCCAGTTCTGCCAACGCCTGAACCGGGAGGCGGGCTGGAAGTGCCAGCCACACGAGGTGGCCACGGGGGGTCACCGGCGGTGAGCAACTGGCAGAGCACAGGCTTCGGGGGCAGCGACGGGGGGGGATGGGCATACGCAGGGGGGGGGGGATGCATCGACCCCCGAACGCCCACTGATCGACGGTGGGGGCCCGGCAGCCCCAGGCTGCCCAGGGAGGTGCGGATGCACGGTCGCAGGCCTACCGCCGGTCTATCGACGGTGTGTCGCCGATTCCAGGTCGATGCATCCCCCCCTTATGCCAGTCCCCCCCTATCGTTGCCCCTCAGCATCTGCCGAGCTGCCGCTGGGACTCGAAGAAGAAGAAGAAGCGCCATGAACATGAACTTGTGGCGCTCCGCGCCGATTTATTGGATCCGCGCTGGGGCCCCCCCGGCGCCGCCTCTGGCGCCGCCCCTGGCGCGCTCCGCGCGCCAGGGAGGGGGGGTCCAGCGCAGATCGAAGGAATTCCGCGCGGAGCGCTAAAGGTTTCTAGCGCTTGTGCTTGTTCCAGTGACCTCCCCCACTGCACTGAGGTGGCTCCCAGTGGCATTCATCAGATGCACAGCAGCAAGACGCCGTAGTCTTGGCTGCCGCAGGGAAGAATCCAGGCGGGCACGCCGCCAGAACTATACGGCGGCGCCAGCATGCCTGGACACGCAGGCGACCGAGGGGGTCGCCGCCCACATCTCGGCGGCCCCGACCAGCCAGCGAAAGTAAGTAAATTTTCGACGAAAACCACACGGCCTCGCGACGCCAGCCTGCGCAAGTGCAGCCTACTGGGCGGAGGCGAGGGGAGGACGAGGGCGAGCGAGGGTGCCTTGCAGCGCCTTGTCAGCGCCGAAGCGCCGAGAGGCCGTGCCTGGCACGAGCTTACGGTCAACCCGCATAGGAAGGATGGGCAACCTTCTCAAGGGTGCCCTTGCATCCCCGGCTCCTCGGTCCATCCCCAGCCACTTCCGTTGGCCGCGCCCCGGTCGGGAAGCTTCGACATGGGTTCCCAAGGCCCTTGCATCCTTATCGCGCATCCTTTCCTTAGGTCAGGCCGAAATTCAGAGCGTGAATTACCTACAGTACCCCGCTTTCGCTTGCAGGACAAACTAAGTCATGCCACGCGCCTCCTCGTCAAGCGACCTGACCAGTACAGGCCGTAGTTTGGCATCGCCTGGTATCTCTTGGAAGCGAGCGTGGTCAAAAGCGAGGTCGGTTTGTTTCCCCCCAGAAATGTTGTACTTCGCGCGGGCTCCGCGCCAGCGCCCACGCGCCCGCCGCCGCCCGAAAACACTGCCTGCCCGCGGCCGCGGGCGCGCCCGTGCGCGCGAGGCAGGCGCGCCGTGGGGGCCTCCCCGTAGGCTGCTCGCTGGAGCCAAGCCACGAGGAGGAGGGGAGGGAGGAGAGGGGAGAGAAGGAGGAGGAGGAGGAGGAGGAGGTCGAAGAGGAGGAGGACCAGGGTAAACCGAAGATGCGTGAACGATGCTGCAATACCAGCCAAGGCGCTGAGGTAAGGGACAGCTTGGGTGCGGAGGGGGCTCGATGTTCCTTAGGCCTTCCCTTGGCTGCTCCTGTAGCCCTCCTCTTGCACGCAGGCGCTTTGTGGGCCAAAAAGGGGGTTCGTTCCTTCTTTATTCCCTACCTAGGCTCTGCCTAGAAGGGTTCTTACCGTGTGTGCTTAAAGGGCCGGGCAGTGCAAATCGCCCCGGGCGGTTCCCCCAGTATCCGCCCCGCGGTTTCCCCAGTGACGTCCCTTTCGCTTAGCGTTGCTTATCTCATCTTAGCTTAGCCTAGCTTAACGTAGCTTAGCTTAGCTTAACCTAGCTTAGCTTAGCTTAGCTTAGCCTAGTGTAGCGTAGCTTAGCTTAGCTTAGCTCAACTCAGCTTAGCTTAGCGCAGCATTAGCATAGCATCGCATAGCATAGTGCAGCAAAGCATAGCGTAGCATAGCATATCATAGCATAGCATAGCATAGCGCCGCATAGCATAGCATAGCATAGTTTAGCTTAGCATAGCATAGCGCTTCATATCATAGCATAGTATAGCATAGCACAGCGCAGCATAACATAGCATAGCATAACATAGCGCAGCATAGCATAGCATAGCATAGTGCAGCATAGCATAACATAGCATAGCATAGCGCAGCATAGCATGGCATAGCATATCATAGCATAGCATAGCATAGCGCAGTATAGCATATCATAGCATATCATAGCGCAGCATAGCATAGCATATCATAGCATAACATCGCATAGCGCAGCATAACATAGCATATCATAGCCTAGCATAGCACTGCGCAGCCGAGCGTACCCTAGCACAGCATAGCATAGCATAGCATAGTGCAGCATAGCATAGTGCAGCATAGCATAGCATAGCATAGCATAGCAGCAAAGCAACGGCAAAGCAACAGCATAGTGCAGCATAGCATAGTGCAGCATAGCATAGCATAGCATAGCATAGCAGCAAAGCAACGGCAAAGCAACAGCAGCAACTGCAAAGGAACGCACAAGCAACGCAAAGCCGGACCTGCAGGGCAAAGATGGCAGTGCAACAGCAAGCCTGCAGTGCAAAAGCCGTCTCGCTGTTGATGTTGATGTAGATGTAGATGCAGGTGTAGATGTTAATGTAGCTGTCGGTGCAGATGTAGATGTTGCTTTCCTAGATGCTCCAACTCCTAGGTAGGGTCGCACTGGGATAATATTTCCTTACTTCAGCAGCGCGGCTGTACACCCTCCCGTTCCAAATCCCCTCCTCACACGCTCCTGCAAGTCCGACTTCTTCACTACAAAGAGCACCTTCTTGAAATACGAGCATAGCTGGGCCTGCCGTTTTGGCGAGAGCCCCGCTTTGAGAAGGAATTGCCTTGCATCTTACCGGCGCGTAGTGAGGAACGAGAGAGGTAATTACCATACAGCTCAGCGAGGTGTCCAGCGAGGTCCCCCTTTCGAAGAAGGACCGCCCCCCCATCCGTGCAACTGTTCCACAAGTTTACACGTGTGGCCGTGCACTTGGAAGAGCTGTCTCAAGCGACAGCTCCATTACGCAGCAGACCCGCAATGGATCCGTGCAGCGCTGTGTGTGTGTGTTGAAGCTAGTGGCTCTTTCAACTTATTCCTCCACCTCCTCGTCCTCCTCCTCCTCCTCTTCCTCCTCCTCCTCGATAGCTCCATTTTGAAAAATTAGTGGCCCTCCATCTAAGCGACTGCGCGCGGAGCTGGGGCGAGAACCCAACTTGAAAACGACCAGTGTGCAGCCCTTGAAACAGATGCGAGGCTTTGACACGAATGCTCGCAGCGCTCATGCGAGCTCCCCACTTTCAAAAGGAACCGGCCCCCATGCGTCAATCGAATTCGAGAGTCTGAAAACGAATGTGCGCGGCGCTAAAGCGAGAGCACAATTTAGAAAAGGAACCGTCCCCAGTCCGAAAAAATGCTGCGAACTTCTACGACGAGCGTGCGCGGCGCTAGAGAGAGAATCGCAGTTTGAAAAGAAACCGCCCTCCATCCTTGAAGCTGTTGCGAAGTTAGACTTAAACAAACAATGTGCTCGGCGCTGAAGCGAGAGCCACATTAAACAAAAATTACCGATGCTCCACCCGCGAAACGGTTGCAAACTGTTCAAACGAATGTGCGCGGCGCTCAGGCAAGGGCCACATTTGATAACCAACCCTTCTCAAAGTGTTGCAAATGTCTAAAGCGAACGCGCGCGGCGCTATGGCGATAGCCACATGTGGCATCCCGCCCTCCATATTTTGGCAGCTGTTGCAAATGTCAAACCTCAGGATCATAAGCGATGTGGAAGTCTCAGGCGAAACGCCCCGCCCGCTCTACCGACACGTCTGAGGGGGCGACAGGGACGACTTATTCGTAGGGAGAACGGACCGAGGAGGAGCAGAAGGAGGAGGAGGAGGAGGAGGAGGAGGAGGAGGAGGAGGATGGGGTGGTGTTAGAACATGGCCATGCGACTGGGTGAGGAACGCAGCAGGGAGCGTAGCGGACACGGCTTGGTTAGGGCCGCCCAGCGTTCGTCGACTGATGCCGTTTGGTTCAAGTGCTACTGCCCTCTCAGCAAAAGATTCCTAATTGGTTCTCAGGTGAGAGAGGTGGAGGAAGAGGAGGAGGAAGAGGAGGCAGCAGTAGGAAAAGGGGTCGCCGTCGCCGTCTTCGTCGTTGGCCCTCCGCCGAGGCCGCGCCGAGTGGGCCGCGTCGGTCACGGAGAGGACCCGGAGCGCGCCACGGGCTCGGCCCTGCCGCCAGAGACGTTTTCTGACGGGCGCCCTCCGGATGGGTGGAAGAAAAGAGAGCAATGGATGGGGGGGGCGCGGGAGGGAAGGGGCGGGAGGAGGGGGGAGCAGAAGGGGCTACAGGAGGGAGCAAGAGGGCGCTGGAGGGAGCAGGAGCCAACAGGCAGAGGAAGAGGAGGAGGAGGAGGAAGGAGGAGGAGGAGGAGGAGGAGGAGGACGGGGCGGGGAGGAGGAAGGCGGCGACTTGCGTGCTGCTTGGCGCGGGCATGGCGATGGCGTGCCTTGGAGAGGACGACGAGGAGGGACAGCGGCATCTCGGCCGACGCGCACGCTGGGGTCGGCGCGCTGCCCGGCGTCACGCGGGGGTTGGCACAACCGATGCGGCCGCGGTGGCGCGTACTGATGGTGACTTCCCAGCGCGTCTCAAAGGCCGCGCTGGCGCGCGGGCAATTCAGTGCGGGTCGGTGGCTCGGGCGGGCGCGGGGTCGTGACGACGCCGACAACGGCGGCAACGACGACAATAGTAGCGGTGGTGGTGGCGATGATGACGATGACGACGGCAAAGCCGGTGGTGGCGCCGATGTTGGCGGCGACGCTGACGATGAAAATGTCCATGTGTCGGTGGTGAATGTGTTTGTGTAATGATGGCGGCAGTGGCGGCCATTGTTGCTAGATGGCGTGATGCGGCAGCGCTGATGAGGGTGATGGCGAGGAAGTGCGAGCGCGCTGAGATCCAAGATTCCTGTCAAAACATGTGTTGAAAAACAGGTGGTGTTCTTCTTACGTTGCTAAGGAATTCTATGTTGAGATGTTCCGACATCAGAACACGTTGACCGGATTTCGGCTCGCGTGGCGGCGCGGGCATCTGCTTTGATTCGTATTAGTTGGCATGTTTCGCTCACGGGGCGCATGTTGGATCAAGGAGGATGCACCGCGTGATGAGATGAGAATGTGGGTGTTGGCCGGGATTGCCAGATTGTTCTCCCATGATTTCAGGAAATGCGCGCGGGCAGAACATTTGCAAAATTTGTGATGGAAAACCGAAGCGTATCATCATATGTTATCTGTTGATATTATTGCAAGCTGGTTTGCGTGCGTTGGTATGAGATCCCCATATGCGCGCGTGTGGACCTTGAGCTGTTTTTGGTTTGCAAGGGGTTATTGGAAAAATGTTTGCGAAAAGCGAGTGTTCGCGCATAGTATTATTTGACACGAGTGAGGAGGGCGATAACCATCATGCTTCGGATGGTATGAATTCAAATAGAATGCGAACGATGACGCAGAATAATGTGTAATTTGAAGAATTTGAAGCCTCCCAGAGGAGACCGATAACCCTGGGGGGGGGATACAGTGGTAAAGTTATGCGTTCTCTAAATAGGATTGCCCCATAGGAGTCCTAACACAAACTCTACTAATTGGTCCATTGCCCCCCCCCCAATTCCTATGCCCCTCCTAATTCCTATGGCAATGCCTATGCCTATGCCTATCCCCCCTTTTTCCAATGCCCCCCCCTTATGTATGTTTGCTTGCTTGATTGCGCGTTTTTGTTGCTTGCTTGCTTGCTTGCTTGCGCTCTTGCTGGCGCATTTGCTCGCACGCTCGCTTGCTTGCTGAGCTGCGAATTCCAAGCATGCTCGATTCCTCTGATTCCTTGGTTTGAGTACTCTAATCTATTTGGAGTCAACGCTGACCGATATTCTTGTGGAAGGAGAAAATATGCGGTGCAAGCTGTGCGGTGCCATTTATGTGGCGCACACTATCAGGTGCAAGCTATGTGGTGCCAGCGGTGCGGCGCAATGACGTCGTGCAATCTACTGGGTGCCATCTGGGCATCGCAAGCCACGTCGTGCGACCCAGCGACCGCAAGCTGTGCGTGCATCCCGAAGCTCGACCGAGTGCGCGAGACGCCCACGAGGCGCCCACGAGCGGGCCCTGGGCTGAAACCCAGCAGCGCCAGCCAGCGTGCGCGGCGCACCGTGCGGGCGCCCGGCGAGGGCACTTCGGGCGCCCACGGCGGGCACCGGGCGAAAAGCCGAAACTGCTGCCCAACACGGGGCGCCCGCCAGGCGCCCACCGGCGGACACCGGCTGGGCGCCAGACGAGAATCTGAAATCACCATCCAGTGGTGTGAGGACGCCTAAGAATCCTTGCAAGCACGGTTGGGGGAGAGCGCCACCGTCACCATGACCAGCATCCGTAGCCGTAGTGGCTCAAACATTCGAGTATTGAATCGTGGATTCGTTGGTCTTTCTGTATGTGCTTCAGTGATTTATGCCGCTCCATGTTCGCACTCTTAGCGCTGGCTGCTCATATGCCGTTTCTTGGGGTCGGCTTGAAGTCGCATTCGATGAGCGAATTTGATGGCATCCCCCTTGGCCAAGACAAAATGTCTGCAAGACCGATGTTCCATTTTGCACCAGCCAAGAATTGGATGAACGACCCCAACGGCCTCGTGTATTACCAGGGTGAGTACCATCTCTACTTTCAACACAATCCTTACAGCGCAAGGTGGGGCAATATGACGTGGGGCCACGCAGTGAGCGCAGACCTTCTTCATTGGACGCAGCTGGATCATGCGATTTATCCATACGAAAGCGGCGGCAAAAAATGGGATGCATTTTCTGGAAGTGCCGTTATAGACACAACAAACTCCAGCGGATTGAGCTTAGATGGCTTCGATCCACCGATGATGGTTTTTTATACCGCTCAAGTCAATCCTCCGTATGGGAAGACATCAAGTGAGCAACGTTCGGCAGTATCTTACGATAAAGGCCGCACGTTCACCGTACTCCCAGATCCTGTCATCAGTAGTTTTTCGCAAGAGCCAGACCACACGGGAGAAGCTTTCAACTTCGCGCGGGATCCGAAGGTTTTCTGGCACGAGCAGTCGCGGCAATGGATTATGGTACTTTGGCTCCGCTGGGAGAACGACATTGGCGGTAATTCGAATTCGGAGTATGGTTTGTTCAGTTCACACGACCTTCGTTCGTGGACAATGAACCAGCGCATAACCATGGTTGGAGATTATGAGTGCCCAGACTTGTTCGAGTTGAACGTCGACGGGGCAACACATGGACAACGTAAATACGTTTTCTTTAGTAGCGCTGGGACTTACCTAATTGGCACATTTGACGGCAAACGATTTGAGCCATCTAGCGCTCCTCAGCATGCGGAGTTCGGCGACGGTTATGCTGCACAGACATACTTTGGTGAGCCTAACGGGAGGCGCATCCAGATCTCATGGTTGGGGCATGATTTCAGTAGAACTTGCAAGCGGAAGATGGCATTCAGCGAGACAGATTTCATGGGCCAAATGTCGATCCCCATGGAGCTGGACCTCGTGTCCTTGCCAACTGGTCTCAGCCTCCGGCGCCGCCCTGTAAGAGAATTACACACGTTGCGGCGTGAGAGGGTTCAAATTTTGCCTCTGGGGCAGACTCATACTTTGACCTCAAGCCAGCCATTGGCAGCACAAGTTTCTGATCCTCGAGCTGGGGTCGAATTTCTTTTGCGAGTGCAGGCGCCGTCAGACTCCAACGCGAAGCTTCAAGTGCAGCTCCTTGGGCGAGACATTCTGCTCGACATGAGAGGCAGCCCGTTCTTATCGAACTTTACCGTCGGAGTGAGCTACCCCCATACAGAGCAAGTGTCTGCGAGGGCGGTGCTTCAGACAGGTTCCGGTCGCAGTCTCCCTGTCCAGGTTGACGAGATGGGCGATATTAGCGTTCATGTCATAGTGGACCGCCTCTCTCTCGAGGCCTTCGATGTCACGGGCGGCGCGTCGATGACACTGTGCGCACCCGCTCGACTCAAGAAGGACGGCAGGCGCTACGAAGATGTTCGCATGGCAGCAGTTGGGGGTCCTCTTCGTATACAGGAGGTAAGCGTTTATGAGCTCAGTGCGTAGCATCAGGTCGACTATCGTGCCAAGTCCCGCTGATGAACCACATCAATAATCCAAGTGACTACGACTCCATCGGTTTACCCTGAGTTTGCTGCAGACCGCTGTGACATCATAGCATCATCATCGCCAGTAGCATCACTATCATCATCACCAGCACCATCACCATCATTAGCAGCATCATCATCATCAGCAGCACCGCCAACGCATGCAGCACTCCATGTCTTGCGGGCTCTACAGGTCTTTTTTCGTGCCTTGCCAGAGCACAACGTTGTCCTACCTTAGTAGTACGCCTTGCCGCCAGTCATCAGAATGTACCTCGACCTGTTTCTGACAGGTTTGGCGATGTTTGCAGAGAGGTTCACCCACGTTGTTCCGCTTGTTTCTCGTGTCGCCCTTCCACGCGTCAACAGTGGATTGTCAGTGTCGAGGTCGTGCACGTGTGGCTTGCTAGCAGGTTGAGAGTCCACACTTGCCAGGTGAATACAGGGAAGATTTCAGTTCCGTCTCATCGTTAGTGTTTGGCGCGCAATTTTGAGAAGCACGGTGGGTTTGGCGAAATGCTTTTTGCGATGCGGTTCACGTGTCGGCCGTCAGTTCGAGCGCCGATTTGCGCAACGGAGGCGGCTCGTTGTCCACCTTGGACCTGTGCGCTTCCCCTTCCGTTGTCACGGGTCGCTGTCGGGTCTCTAGCGCAGCAGCCGCAAATGGTGAGAAGTTCGGCACACCGCATCCCACGTCGGGCTTGAGACCAACAGACCCGCGACGACGTATTACGATCGGTCGTTGTGGTTTGCCCGCAAAGCGATTGCCCACGCTTGGCTCAACCTCGACCCCGAGGACCTGGAATGAATGCGGAATGGCCGCCCAGGCAGACTTTCATTTTGGGGGTGCGTTCCCCAGCGCACTATCCTCTGCCGCCCAAGTATGCATCGCGGCTTGCTTTGGCCAGCTGCGCTCTGACTCAGCCAGCGTATCATCAACAGCGTCAGCATCGCCACCATCATCATCAGCAGCAGCAGCAGCCAGCAGCAGCAGCCAGCAGCAGCAGCATCATCAGCATCATCGTCGTCATCATCGCCATCACCCGCTGATGGCCTTGAGGAGCAAGGTAGGAGCAGTCCGCGTCGCCGCAGCCACAGCGCCTCAGCAGCTTCAGCCTTGGGGCTCCTGATCGGGGAGCGCTTTTGACGCTCGGGCTCCTGCTCGGCCACGCCTGGCTGCACCTCGCTCCCTTTGCGACTGCGCGATGGGCCTCTGCTGGGCCAGCGAGCGAGAGCTCCCTCGAAGCTGGGCCACGGAGCGCCTCGGGAGGATCCTATACATGACGCGCGAGATCCCCCGCCGGCTGGGCCGAGGAGCGCCTCGGGAGCACGGGCACTCGACGAGGCCCTGACCTTCCAGAGAGCTATATATTTTTAGCACTGGAGACCTAAAAACTTGAAAAGCTGAGCGAAAGAGCCAAAAAACCAAGACGTAGAATAGCTTTGGGATAGGTTTTCAAGTCGGGTGCTATTTTGTTAGCCCTCCTGTCGGGCGAAGAGAACTATGCACATGCACTGATCCTGGCGAGGCCCATCCTTGACCCAGGATCGGTGCATATGCCTTCCTGGCCAAGGTAGGAGGGCGTATGCACCGATCCTGGGCTCAGGATGGGCCTGGCCAGAATCGGTGCATGTGCATAGTTCTCTTCCCTCTATCCTGGAAGGTCAGGGGGGGCGCGGGCGGGGACCCGCAGCGGCGCTGCCGCTGGCCTGCCACCGCCCGGGGATCGGGAGGTGCGCCGCCGCCCGGGCCCCCTGCTCGCGGGCGCTCCAGCCGGGGGGGGGGGGCACCGAAAGGCGTGCCGACGGCTGCCGCTGCCCCCCCCCCGGGGCCCCAGACCCCCTCGAGTCATGAAAAAATCACGACGGGAGGTTTTTCATGATTTTTGGCCTCTGGGGGCCCTTACCGGCCCTCGGGACCGTCAAAAAACGACTCAGGATGAAAAACCGGTCCCGGCGAATAGGTCCGGACCTCTGGGGGTCGCGTCATGAAAAAATCATGACGTCGGGGGTCTGGGGCCTCTCCCGGGCTGCGTTCCGGCCAGGGTTTTCGAGGCGACTCCACCCGCCGGGCGAGGAGGGCCGCCCAGGAGGCCCCAGAAAAAGGGAAACCGAGGGGGGAGGGAAGCGGCATCTCTGGGCCTCCTAAATTCGGTCCGAGTGGATGGGGTCGGAGGATCGCGCCGCATCGCCGATGCATCGGCGATGCGGCTCGATGTGAAGTCCGATTTCCTCCACGCCGGCGTCGTCGATGCATCGCCGACGTCGCCAGTGCATCGCCAATGTATCGGCGATGCATCGCCGATGCATCGCCGATGCGGCGCGATCCTCCGACCCCATCTCCTCCGACCCCATCTAGGAGGCCTCCAGTGTTTGAGGGCGTATGGGAGTCTTCTTGGGCAGTCGTAGGATCATCTTGTGGCTCCCTTGGGGCGTCTCTGCGCTCCACAGGTGTCCAGGGCTTGATTGGGGCCCTCTCGTCGGCTGCGCGTGTTTCGGTTTTCTGGCGCGGGCTGCTCGGAAGCCACCTTAGGCCGGCCTGTATGGGTCTTCTCTGGACTTATTCGGTCCATTTAGCTCGGGGCAGTCTTCGGGTTTTGAAGACCCGTCTAGTGGAGACCATCTGAAGCAGTCTTGGAGGCAGCCTTGTGTTTCATTTACATTGGCTCATGCCTCACAATCGCCTCGCCACCCCTGGCAAGCTGGGTGAGTGGATTCTCACCTTCATGACCGTCATCTGCGCAATCATCACCACCAGCATCATCACCACCATTAGCATCGTCACCTGCTGATGCCGCAGACTGCTGGGCATACAGACCTCTTGAATCAGGTCGCAGTAACAGCGTCACCAGCATCAGCAACATTACCATGACCACTCACTCTCACCCTCGTCCTTCTCATCCCTCTCCCCCAGACATGTGAGTTCTCGAGTTGTTCAATACGCGGTCCACAGAAGTCCCGACCCTATGCGTTTGTCGTTGCTTAACGGTCCCAAGGCCCTTGCGATGGCCATGGGAGGCCGCACATGGCCAAAAACCGTCCGTCGTGATGTTGCTCAAGTTGCGGGCATGTGTGGACCTCTTTTTTGCTTCCGCTGTGCTCACTGTGTCTCTGAAGGATGAAAAAAACAGTAACAAACAGTTCGCGGCTCCGAAGTTACGGGAACACTCGGCCGACACGTTTCTTGTGAGCCTTGACAGCAGCCCCAGAGTTTTTGGGGTGTTTTGACATGGCCTCGTGCGCAGAGTGGCGCGCCAGCACGTCGTGTTTGTCAAACACTAGCGCAGCAGCTTCCTCTTCATGCAGTGGCACACCATTGGTTGTCACCCATTCTCCGCACTGGCTGGGTCGCCGGTTCAGGTGTGCAAGCAGCCGAAGTCTCGTCGAGAAAATGGTCGGGCACGCCTGGCACCTGCAGTCGTGGCCAGCATACAAGCGCATGATGTACCTCCTTCTCCCCCTCCTCCTCCTCCTCTGACCCTGTACGCCGCCGTAGCACCGCTGTGGCATGTTCGGGCTGGGTCTTGCAGGGGGCGTGGTACCAGCAGAAGTGGGCGTGAGAGCAGCACCTCTTAGTTTGTGCCCGCGGCCCCTCCTTCCACCGACGGCCAGCTGCGCCAGAGTGTGCGACAGGTTAGTTTTCCGGCAGCAAAGAACACTCCTCCCCTCGCCCTCTCCCCTCCTCCTCCCCTCCTCCCCCTCCCCCTCTCCTCCTCCTGCCTCCTCCTCCCTCCTCCTCCTCCCCCTCCTCCTCCTCCTTTCCTGCTCCTTCTCCTCCTCCTCCTCCTCCTCCTCCTCCTCCTCCTCCTCCTCCTCCTCCTCCTCCTCCTCCTCCTCCTCCTCCTTCCTACCTCCCTACCTCCCTATATCCCTCCCTCCCTCCCTCCCTCCCTCCCTCCCTCCCCTCCCTGCCGCGCGTTGGGGCGCCGAGGCTGAGCGAGGGCAGGGCGCGGGCGCGGTGCCCCTTCCTGGAGGAGCTGCGCAGCTCCCGGGAGGCGGGCCGAGCCGAGAGGGGACCCCGCCGGCCCCGCTCAGGCTCTATAGGGCAGTGCCAAGGTCAGGGGCAGGGGGGGGGGCTAAGGAGGAGGAGGAGGAGGAGGAGGAGGAGAAGGAGGAGGAGGAGGAGGAGGCGGGGGAGGAGGATGAGGTACTTTTTTCCGACATGCGTGTAGGGGGGGACTAAGACGAAGCCATGACGAGGATTACATCGGATGAGGATAGCTCGAGAATCTCCGAGATCCGGCGGCTCTGGAGGATGTCTCGGGCGCCGCGGCCTTCTCGGAGCGTTCCAGAACGCCTTGAAAGCGTTCCGGAACGCTCTGAACTAATTTACCTTCGTCCTAGCCCCGTCCGAGGGATAGGCATACGGGGGGAGTGCATCGACCCCCAATCGCGCACTGATCGCCGATAGGGGCCAGATAGCCCCGACCTGCCCAGGAACGCGCGGATGCACCATCGGAGGCCAATCGCCGAGGTTTCGGCGATGTATCGCCGACTCCAGGTCGATGTGTCCCCCCCTGTGCCAGCCCCCCCTCCTATCGTTGCCCCTCACAAAGGGGGGTCACCGGTGCCTCCTGTCGGCGGCGCGCGGCGGGGGGGGAGTTTCGGGCTCGAGCTGCTCGGACGTCCTCGGGTGTTTTCGTCGGTTCTCGTTGGCGCTCCACCCTCGGGATGCTTTCCAGCGGCTGGGCCTTGCCGAGGGCGTTCCGGGGGCGCCTGCCTGCATCGTCTAACGGCCGCCGGAGACCCGAGCTATGACCCGAAAACCAATGTCGGTGGCGCGCCCGGGGGGGAAGTGAGAAGGAGTGGGCCTTCTCCCCTGACCTTCCAGAGAGCTATTTTTTAGCACTGGAGACCTAAAAACCTAAAAAGCTGAGCGAAACAGCCTAAAACCAAGACGTAGAATAGCTTTGGGATAAGTTATTACGTCGGGTGCTATTTTTTAGCCCTCCTGGAAGGTCAGGGTCAGAAGCCCTCCGGCCTTTGAGGGGTTTTCTGTGCTCGGGGAAGGCTTGGAACACTTCTCAGGCCGGGGGACTCCCGAGCATTCTCAGAAGCCCCGCCCCTTCTCACTTCCCCCCGCGCTCACCGCCAAAAGGGGGGGACACCGGTGCCGCCTGGAGATCGAGGTGCCAGGATTCTCGGCCTCCCAGGTGGGGTCGGAGTAGATGGGATTGGAGGATCCCGAATTTTCCCACACCGACGTCGCTGATGCATCGCCACTGTCTCCGGTGCATCGCCCATGCATCGATGATGCATCGAGGAAGAGGCGCGATCCTCCGACACCATCTACCCATTTGGGAGGCCTCGAAGGATCGAAGCTCGAGGAAGTTTTTGGACGGTTGGGGTCGTTTTGGTCGGCTCCAGAGTGAAGTGGTGACCCCCCCAGTGGTGACCCCCCTGGCATTGCCTGGGGATCCCCTTCAGCTGGGCGAATTACGGCACGAAGACAATCTCACCAGACTTGCTCGCGTCGTCAAAAAAACGCGACGGGGGGGAGTCGCCGTTTTCGGCCTCCAGAGACCATCGTTAGGCCTCGAGACCGTCAAACAATGCCCCCCAGGTATGACAAACCGGGCCTGGGGCAAAATTCTGGACTTCTGCGGGCCGTTTCCTTGCAAATGACAAAACATCAGATGCTCGGGTTTCAGATGGGCAAGAGGTCGTGACGGTGATATACGTGCCGCGATCTCCAGAGGCTGTCCGCGCTTGTTCCAGAGGCGAGGGCCGCCAGGTGCTTTGGAATTCTGAGAACGCGCTCTGATGACGGAGCAGGTGTCGGCGCTAGCGGGGGCCAGCCAATCTTCTCCGATCTTTTTTGGTAGATATGGGTTTGGGTTTCGAGTCGGGGATCGACCACAGACTTGGTTTACCCCAAACTCATGTGTTCGTCTACTACGAGAAAAAACAAAAAAAAAAAAAAAAAAAAAAAAAAAAAAAAAAAAAAAAAAAAAAAAAAAAAAAAAAAAAAAAAAAAAAAAAAAAAAAAACGTACACTTTCCGTAGAAATGCGACCGTTCTACGTTTTCCCCAACCCTCCTGCGTCGGGCCCTCGTTGCGAATAGAGCACTGCGGTCCCCACCTTCCCGCCCCTTTCCTTTCTCCCAACCCTGCTGCGCTGGGATCTCGTCTTGAATAGAGCACTGAGGTCGCGACCTTCCTTCCCGCCTCCCTCCTCCTCCTCCTCCTCCTCCTCCTCCTCCTCCGCCTCCTCCTCCTCCTCCTCCTCCTCCTCCTCCTCCTCCTCCTCCTCCTCCTCCTCCTCCTCCTCCTCCTCCTCCTCCTCCTCCTCCTCCTCATCCCCTCCTCCTCCTCCTCCTCCTCTCCTCCTCCTCCTCCTCCTCCTCCTCCTCCTCCTCCTCCTCCTCCTCCTCCTCCTCCTCCTCCCTCCTCCGCCTCCTCCTCCTCCTCCTCCTCCTCCTCCTCCTCCTCCTCCTCCTCCTCCTCCTCTCCTCCTCCTCCTCCTCCTCCTCCTCCTCACCCCTCCTCCTCCTCCTCCTCCTCCTCTCCTCCTCCTCCTCCTCCTCCTCCTCCTCCTCCTGCTCTCCCTACGCATCGTCTCTCCTGCCTTCTGCCTGGCATGTCCCTGCCTGCCAGCCTGCCTCTTACCTCGCCGCCCTGCGAAACTGTCGCCACTTTCGAGAGCTGCTGGGGGGTCCAGCGGAGCCACGCCCCACGCAGACCTAAATTAGACCTCCCCATTCCTAGGGGGCTGCGGTCTGCGAAGCTGCCGCCACGTTCGAGGAGCTGGGGCATCCAGCGGAGTGACGTCTTACGCAGACCTACATTAGACCTCGTCCTCCCTGGGGGGCTGCGATCTGCGAAACCGTCGCCACTTTCGAGAGCTGCTGGAGGGTCCAGCCGAGTGACGCTTCACGCAGGCCCAAGTTAGACTTCGCCATCCCTGGGGTGCTGCGATCTGCGAAATTGTCGCCATTTTCGAGGGCCGCTGGGGGATCCAGCGGAGTGACGTCCTACGCAGACCTAAATCAGACCTCGGCAACCCCTTGGGGCTGCGATCTGCGAAAATGCCGCCACTTTCGAGGAGGGGCTAGAGCGGAGTGACGTCCTACGCAGACCTAAATAAGGCCTCGCCATCCTGGGGGGATGCGATCTGCGAAGTTGTCGCCACTTTCGAGGGCTGCTGGGGGATCCAGCGGAGTGACGTCCTACGCAGACCTAAATTAGACCTCGTCCTCCCTGGGGGGCTGCGCTCTGCAAAACTGCCGCCACGTTCGAGGGCTGCTGGGGTGTCCAGCGGCGTGACTCTCTACGCAGACCTAAATTAGACCTCGCCATCCCTCGGAGGCTGCGATCTGCAAAAATGCCGCCACGTTCGAGGGCTGCTGGGGGGGTCCAGCGGCGTGACGTTCTACGCGGAGTTAGACCAACCTCGATGTCCTTTCCCACAGGTCCCGAATACCTGGCGGCGCGCCTGCGAGCGTTTAGCTCGCGCACCGCACGTTGCAGGGAGGAATCGGAGAACCTGGTGGGCGAGGTTGGGCGCGCTCGCTTCTTGCATTGCGGTCGGGCCGCTGAAGAAGGAACCCATTCGTTGGGGAGGGGTTCAGTGTTCCTTAATTGTTTTACAGCCTGTCTTAGGTTGTCCGTAGGTTCTCTGTGGGAAATCAAAGTTCAGCTCATGGACAAAAAAGGGCTTCGTTCCTGATCGAGGGTTCCTTACGACAGCGTTTCGATTTTAGTTACGAACAGCTGATCCATTGAAGCAGCAGAGCGACATGGCGCGGGCCGCATTGCTTGTCCAGCGTCCCATTGGAAATGACCGCCACCCTATTTCTTCACTCTGTTTTGTTGTTGTCGGCCTCTTCCGGCTTCGCCGTTTCACTGCGCTGTCGCGTCAATTGTTCGGTCCTTCTTCCGGCTTTTTTGTTGGCACCTCGTCCCCACCCCGATTTCCCGAGCTCGGGGCCTCACCCCTCGTCTTTTGTTGCTGTCCTGTAAGTCGCACACAGCGCGCGCCTCCCATATATCTCGCACAACCAAGGACAGATCCTGCGTTGTCATCTGCCAAACCACTCTGGACTCCTCTTGTCATTTAGTGCAGATGGGCTGGCTGGGTACGTCGCAGGGTAAATCTTGTAGATTCTACGAACATCTCAATCTGCAGGTCAGTCGATTGTGCAGTCGATCTCCTCCTCGAAGGTCGTCGCGCGAAGCCGGCATCCCCTCCCTCCGTTGGCCCGGCTTTGCAAGATGCGGCACAAGTAGTGAACACCCCCCCTGCCCCCAAAACTCAAAGTTGGCACGCGCGGGGGAGACTGCGGTCGAGGTGCAACTTATCAGACCCACCGCCAACTTTGAAGATTGGGGGGAGGGGGAGGCGGTCACAGATGAATGTGGCATGAGTGTTCGCTAGTTTTTCTTTCCGAGGCCTGTGTTTCGTGGCTGGCTCGGGGTCGCGACGTTGCCCTGGCTAGCCGAGGTCAGCGCTGACCCACGCCAGCGCGTTCCCAACCGAGCTGCTGCGAGACGAAGATGCAGCGTCCCAGAGCGTCTGGAGCGGCCGCGGCGCCTAGTACATCCTCTGACCGATCCGCCACTGTCGGGGGCCCCCGTACGGGGTGGTGACCACACCGTGTGGCGAGTCGGTGGGGATTCGGGGTCGCCGCACGGTTTTGGGACTCGGGCCGTTCTCCGAGGACGTCTCGGGCGATTGGGGCATCCGAGGTCCAAGGCCGTGCAGTGACGGACCGTGCGGTGAGGTCTTGGAGGATTTCGAGGTCACCGCACGGTTTGTCACCGCACCGTTTCGGGAGTCCAAACACTTCCAGATCCCGAGCTGTCTCAGCCCGATGTGCTTGTTCCTGCCGTCGTCCCATGCCCAGAACGGCGAGCGTCGCCGTCGGAGAGGTTCGAGAGAGCGTGAGCGTCGAGGAGAATCGACTAATTGCGAGGGCCGAGGTTCTGGCCCTCGATTGCGCCTCTGCGTCTTCGTCGTCGTCGTCGTCGTCGTCGAGGTGGCCCGACGAGGTCCGAGGAGGTCCGAAGACATTCGGGGTCCGAGGAGGTGTCGAGCATCGAGGGTCAAGGTGTTGAGCGAGGCCCCCCTGGAAGCCTCCAGGGATCTCCCC